TCATTGCACATTGGGCATTCCCATGCGCAGTCAGGCATCCCAAGAAGAAACCCCACTCTCACGTATTCTACTAATTGTTCCATGAGAGGTTGGTTATGATGTCTCCAGTCTGGGCCTCGAAGGCGGCAAAGTCGGGCTTCATAAAACTTTACTCCCATGTATGGCAATCATGTTAGGGTCAGAGATTCGGCTTTATTCCCTAGCCCAGTCCGTACAGCGCTGATGATTTCTGCTCTGTCCATGCTTTTCCCATATGTGTAGGCAAATGATAGCCAGAATAGAAAGGAATGGAAGAGTAGACATGGCACACGGGTAGTAACTCATAAGTGCTCCGTTCTTCTAAATCAAGTCTGAGTCCAGAGATGCTCAGCACAGTGCACAAGCTCTGTAGCACTGGCGAGGATCCTGAAATACTTTGAGTAGATTTTAAACTCAAAATTGTGCACGGGCAGCTCCGCTAAGCTACTCTTTTCGATTTCCAACTGCCAAGGAATTTTTTACGTGCGCAAAAATGCACACCGGCGTCCGATCTCACTACCGAGAGACCAAGGAAAACAAATAGAAGTCCAAGTTCAGGTGAAAAATCCAAGCCCCTACCAGGGATTAAATCTAGAACCTCTAGCACTCGTGGTGGACACCATGCCTTGATACCACCCAATCCCACTAGTGATGGTGATGTTGATTTTACTATTACAAACGTCAAGTATTTTTTTCTCCAATCGCAAAGCAACCAATATATATATATATATATGCAGACAATGGGACAGAAGTGAATAGAGAAGAACCTTTTAGTAACTGATGAGGGAAAGTCATCGTGACATGAAAGACGCAACAAGCTAAAGCCGACACGGCTAATCTAACAGATACATGCATCATCATCATCTGCTCAAGGAAGTAGCCTTGAAAAAAATACATCTGCCACGATTACCAACGTCATCCGGATGATGTGGTCTGCCGGGCTTGGCCAGGGCTATGCTAATGTTAGGGTGGAAATGTTTTTTTTTAATGCCAGCTTGGACAGTTGAAGATTATGATATGTCATTGTCCGTCCACTTGGTGTGGAAATCACGTTTTTCTGGTTGTTAAGAAGTAATCTGGCTAGTAGATATCCTAGATGGTCTCTCTCCCACACAGACACACACACACCACGCATACACACACACCTCACATGTGAGCGCATTCCTCTAACCAATTTATTACCTTCCTGGAGGTCCTGTTGTGAAAAGTAAAAGGTCTTGAAAGCAAGCTAATTGAAATGTATATAAAGAATGTAAATGTACCTCTCTTCCGCTGTGCTTTCCCGAATCATTCTAAGTTAACATATGCCTTCCGTTGTGAATAAATCTCATACACATTTCAGAATTACGCCTAGCACAATTGACGCAACCAGGACATGTTTGTTTTTGGTCTGGTCATAGGCAGCTAAGTTAGTGTTCTATCCTATCCTTTACAGGATATTGCATAACCAAACCCAGCATTTTTTAAAGCTATTAGGTGTTAGTTACCAACATTTCCCACCAAGCGTGGATTGGTCTATACAAATATAGGTCTAGCCCTATATTCCCAATACGCCTAAAGGAGTGGAAAGGGGCCTTTACTTTACTTTGGTGTTACTAGGCAATATTTTTACTTCTTTAATTTGCCAATACCGCCTACACTGTCGGCTTTTAAAATCATGTCAAGAGGGCCTGCTGCCAAATCTTTATACGCAACTAGAGTCGACATGGGCACCTCTTAATACAAGTACAGTTGTAAAGCCATGTTTTTTTTAATCACTACTGTAATAGGCCAACACAAATATGGGCACAGGATATAAGTGACTCTTTTAAAATGAAAGTGTACGAGGCGGGAGAGCTGGCGAGAGACCGTGTTTCTTTCTGACAGCCCGTGATGAGAGCGACGTTCTGTAAAGGACCTGCTACATAATGTTGATGATGATGTTTGTAAAAGACACTTGGTGGACAGTATCGGTACCATGTTTTATGGCGAGGGGTAGAGGGTAGCAGCCCTGGATGCAATAGAAAAGTTATAAGCGCTATGATAGCCATCAGCAATGCAAACTTGGGAATGTCGGACAACGCCTGGTATCGCAATTGTCTACCCTTGTGCTTTAGGTAAAAGATCAGTTCTGAGAGCAGGAGTGCGCCAAAGAAAACAATCCGTTAAAGATATTTCAGATTTTGTATATTCGAAAGGAAAAATAATTACCAGTGCCAATCAGCGACAGCTAAAGAGCAAACTGTTCCTCTGTCGCAAAAGTGTACGATGTTGTTGCTGTTTTTGTTGTTGTTGTTGTTGTTGTTGATGATAGCGATGATGACGATAATGATGAGCGGTCACATATACAGGACATCTGTTGTCTTGGGAAAAAGTAAGCAAAGTAAAGGACTATTTTCTACACCTTCATGTGTATTGTGCGTATAGGACTAGTCCTATATTTTATATTATATCGCAAACGTGTTGGGTGATGTGGTCAGCATCAAGCAGGCCGTCTTTACTTCCCAGGAGTCCACCTGTTACCTACTCAAGCTGGGTCAACCTGAAAGAAAAGTTCTTTTTTTTGAAAATCAAAATGTCTGACCCCGTCAAGACCATCCGATCCACAGACAAGCGTCTAGCCGCTGAACCACGGCGACCTCCTTGGGAACGGTAAAAGGTCAAAAATCATCCGGAATACGATCCGAGTCACGTAATATTTGTTAGGCAATTTATTTTTGATTTGTCGAACGATTTTAACATTCACCATGTGGAGCCAGTGGAGTTGTATTTGCGTAGTAGCCAGATGCTCGCCTGCTAGGCCCAATGTCTAGGGTTTCTATCTGCTTCCAGGCTGATTTTTTTCCTCTCTAAAATCGGTCTCGACTCCCAGGTCGACCTAGCCTAAAATGGGTATACCAAGTTATGTCGTGCAAGCAGCAGCAGCCGACCCAGTGTTGAACAGATACTTCTTCTTTCTCTTCTGTTCTTGTGTGCATGTTTTGATTTGTGTGTGTAGACGAAGCAGATTAACGGAGGATCGATATCTGAGCTAGGGCACGCTTGGTTGCCACGTATGTTGTGATGTTGTGATGTCTCTAGTTGTCAATGGTTTATTCAATTCATCTGTATCTTGGTCGTCCCCAACCTTTTGGTGTTTCTACTTTCACGTTGTACTCTTTCTCTCACTCTTTGCTGCCATCACTGGATTCATTTTCATGAAAAGCCCAAACCACTTCACTGGGTTTTTTTTATTTCCAAATAATTTAATTACAGACGTTGTTCCAATAGTTTCGGTAATTTCTTTGTTGCTCACATCATCTGTTCAAGTTTTGTCCATTACCTTTGTTTGGTGAAATCAGTGCCGTCTAGTCTACACCATAAACTAATCATTGACCTGCATGAGTTGTGAACGTGTATCGATGGAAGAAATAGTTCACCACACCCATCTTCTTTTTCAGTCTTCCATTTGTTGAACAAGTGAAAACTAAATTAGTCCCATCTATTTCTTGATTTTGTCAATCCAGATTCTTCTCTGACCCCTCTTCTTCGAATGCCATCCAAAATTTCATCGAAACAGGTGTCACCACGTGCTCAAACCAAACTAGCTTGCTACGCTACCGAGAGATTTATACATCTTTAGCCCAAGCATTCTGTGCATGATGCGACTAAAGCGTACTTATTTGGGGAACAAACCCAACTTCCAAGGATTAATGGGAAAATACCAAAATGCGAAAGAAAATGTAGTAAAAAAATATACCATTGGTTTACAATAAATTAGGTGCAGTTACACATCACATGTATTTAATGACACGACATGAGGATTTGGAATTAATTAAATTAACAATAAATATTCCTACTTCTATGTGTCGGCATTCGTAAGTCAACCATACTTAGTTTTAGAATAAACAGATAAATACTGATTTCTCACCCCCCCCCCCCCTCCCATTTTTTTAAATACCGTGAAATTAGTCGATAAGTTTGGAAACTGAGGGTCATCGGGTGAGATTAAAAACAATATTAGCAACATACAACGATTTAATAACATGTTGAATTAATTTGTAAAGGCTAAAAGTTTTGTTTAAGAAAGAAAATCCCGACTAAGATGGCGAACAGGAAAAAGAGGAGGAGGTAGAAAAAAATGAAAAGAAGAAGGGAAAAGTATAGCAAACGCTGTTATTGATATTTGACAAAAATAATGTTTAGAATACAGTCAGTTTTTTCAGAGATTTTCTGTCACTTTTTTTGCAGGCGGTCCTGCTGCGCCAACGGCAGATCAGTTTGGATATCCGCCGCCAGTCAACTTTGGACAGCCACCTAATTATGGTCCACCACCCAATGTTGCACCCCCAGCCGACTTTGGACAACCCCCAGCCAACTTTGGACCACCCCCAGCTAACTTTGGACCACCCCCAGCTAACTTTGGACCACCCCCAGCTAACTTTGGACAACCCCCAGCCAACTTTGGACCACCACCTAACTTTGAACCACCCCCAAATTTTGCTCCACCGCCCCCGACGCCTAATTTTGGACCACCCCCGAATTTTATACCCCCTCCAAATCCAGTACCACCCGCTAATTTTATACCTCCCCCAAATCCATTGCCACCCGCTAATTTTATACCTCCCCCAAATCCTGTGCCGCCTCCTAATTTTATGCCATCGCCTAATTATGCACCGCCACCTAATCCACCCCAAACATTTTACTCACCCCCTAATCCAGAACAACCTCCTAATTTTTTGCCACCTCCTAATCCAGCACCACAGAACTTTCCGCCCCCACCTAATTATGCTCCGCCTCCAAATCCAGTACCGCCCCCTAATTTTATGCCACCCCCAGTCGCCCCACCACCAAGCAGTGCTCCCAGCAGCAGCAGCAACAACAACAACCCACCGCCACAAAATCCTCCCCCTCAGCCGCCTGCCCCAGCACCCCAGCCAGCCGCCCCGTCTCCGGCCCCTGCCCCACCAGTTGACCCACAGACAGCCTACATTCCACCCAGTCACAATTCACCCGGAGGTTACATGGAACAAGAGTTTGAGCCCGTGCAGGTAGAGCAAGTACAAAGTAATTACCAACTTCCTCAAGGTAATTACGCTCCACCCCCAGGAAATTACCCTCCGCCTCAAGCCAGTTACCCCCCACAACAGGTCAATTACCCTCCACAACAAACCAATTACCCCCAAAAACAGACAAATTACCCTCCACCGCAGGTCAGTTACATTCAACCACAGGTCACTTACTACCAGCAGCAGCAGGTCGCACAGCCCCAGTCGCAGGTCTACTTACAACCACAAATGAGCTATGTCACAAAGCAGGTTGTTTATCGCACACCGCACATCGTCACATATCGTCAGCCAGTGCTCACCTACCGTCCAGTGCAAATAGTCAGCCAGCGTGTTGTGCCTGCTGCAGCCACAAGAAGTAAGCTCATCACTATCCTCATCATCATCATCATCATCATTATCATCATCATCATCGTCATCATCATCATCTCGTAACACATATCGTTAGGTCATCAGTTGTTGGTGAGTGACTGATCAGCTCTAACTATCTTTGACGGTCAGATGCGATGGACTACATAGTTGCACGCCTATCCAGTCAATCAAGTTCTGTATCCGAGTATGTCTTTGTCTTTCTTCTCCTCTTCCCCTCTACTGGGCCCTGTAGAACTGTTTTTGAGAGGCAGTAAGATATTATTACGTTTCCGTACAATTGCATTCCCACTTTTTCACTATAGTTCAAAGAGGCTTTATAGTTGCCAGTGTGCTAGAGAATTTTACGACGAACCTCGTCATTTGTAACACATTCTCTGTTTGATTTGCCAAGAATTTTTATAAAAGTGCATTGCCAATGCTTGTATCTTATTTTCAAGTTCAGCTATTATGGTCCATGTATGACAGGCATATTGACTATTGCTAGTGCTCTGAGCAGTCGAAGTTTAAATTTAAATACAATTCTTTTAGATCTCCGCAATAGTTGCTGTTTGGACTGATGCTATCTGGGCAATCCTAGACATGATTTCTGGTCCAAAAGTAAGTTAAACAATGAGTTTTTTGTTGCTGTTATGATAAAGAGGGAGCGGGGGAGGGGCGGCGCTCAAGAAAGCTTGAGAGCAAAATATGTTATTCAATTTTTTTATTCGGGAAACATAATGTCACACTGCATACAGAAATTTCACTCTGGGCGGATCGTTTTCAGCTGGGATAGGTAGAATTAAAATGAGACAGTTTGATAAAAGTGTCTCGACAAAAACATATCTGGCAGGATGTTAGCTCGAGTTATACAATTAAGGTGTTCCCTGTATTGTACATTGTATTACCTCATTGTGTGGTCTCAATGCATGGTGTCCGCCTCCTGTGCTAGAGGTTGCGGGTTCAATCCACGGTAAGGGCTGGGATGTTTTCACCTGGGATGTTTTCACGTGGACTTTGACTTTCATTTTTTTCCCCCTTGGTCTCTGGGTAGTGAGACGGACGCCCGTGTGCATTGTTGCGCACGTAAAAAAACCTTGGCAGTTGGAAATCGAAAAGAGTAGCCAAACGGTGCTGCCAGGGCAAAATTTGGAGTTAAAAATCTACCCAAAATATTTCAGGATCCTAGTCGGTGCTACAGAGCCTGTCTACTGTGCTGAGCTTCTTCGGACTCAGACTTGAGTTAGAAGAAGAATGAAGCCCTTATGGGTTACTACCTGTGTGCCATGATGTTGATTTGTTCCTCAAAACCTCACACCTCATTTGCTTAACTTATCTCCACATTTTATTCAAGGAAACTACCTCACAAGTGTGACCAGGTTCTGTGGTTGAGGTATTCTTCTAGACCCGTCTCTGCAGTCGCGGCAATATACACAGGTGCCTGAAGACAATGAAGTGGTGAGGTCAAATCTGATCAGCCATCCAGTGCAAATGGGTACTTTAAATATATGTCCAGCACTATTCAACCCGTTTATCTGAAGGTGTGGAAAGGGGTCCTTTATTTGACTTCCACAGACTCTTCCTGTCGCTGTTGACACATAAAGCATTCAAAAGTGGTTTTCATTTCAGCCGATTTGCTGCTTCTTTTCCTTTAGTATCCATATCAAAATTTCATTTCATTTCTGCTGTCCATCTCCGAGTTTTCTTATGTGGTCTACGTCTCCATTTTCCTTTTGTCGTCCTTTGGAGAGCTTCTTTTTTCTAGTGTCATGAGGCATTCTAACGACATTTCCAAGCTAGCTCTATTTTTTTTATTTTGATCACGTTTGCATGTGAGGGTCAGCGTCTGTGGCTTAGGCGTTGCGAGCGCGCTTCGTAATGCCGGGGTTCCGGGTTTGATCCCAGCTGCGAACGATTCGTCGTGCGTTGGTTTCGACAGTAGTACCGAGAGCTGACCGTTCAGTGTAGTGGCAAACTACTCAATGTAGAATTTGCCTAGGAAAAAATCACCACAGCCTAAAAATGCTTGGGTTGGTTCTGCAACCGCCTGTAAAGGATACGCTAACTAACCTTTGCTGGTGATGAACATTTTGTCTTCTTCCCCAATTCCACATTTGTAATTCTCCAGGGAATGCCGGTGTGTTGGGAAATGATTAGGCAAATTGACTGGCTGGCTCTGCACCAGTCGATGGTGAACTGATGTATGACAAGTTAGATATTGTGAGGGTCCTCTAGGAACAAGTAAACAGCACGGAGGCGCAAATAGATCATTACGGTCTTAGAAGAAGGGCGCTGCGAGGAGTTACCAGGAAATCTGGCCGACGTTCAACACCTAGGGGAAGGATGAGGCGGATATACAATCAGACGGTTACTGGTACCATCGGAATTGGAATTCTTTGCTTGCTACTGAAGATAGGGACTGAGCACTCATGGGAATGTCCGAGTGCTGTGATGTCGATTCTCAACATTCAACACTTTGTCATCTTGATCTTGCTTGGCACAAATATTCGCAGAATTCTCCTTATAAGTATATTTCGAAGAGATAAAAGACGTATACTTATATTATACTTACAATTTATATACCAGTATGTTATTCAATTACCAAGATTCTTTTATTTATCCACATCAGCTTACCCCAGCCCACAGGACAAGAAGCTTTTGGACGCCTACGTGGAGAGAAAGAATCGAGCCAACACTTCCGCTTTAGGCAGAAATCTCGCTGGAGCTTTCCTAATGAATGAATTCGCGTTTTGACTGCACTTTCCTATTATGTTGTTTAAGTTTCAATGTTGTAATAAGAATTTGTTTTTTACTATGTTATGCGAGTAATATAAAATATGATTACTTTAAAATAAAATGTCGTATTACATATGTATTGACACTGTCATGATCATTCTTATACTGAACTGTCGTATGTTCTCGATTATATGTAAGAAAAAAGTTAGTAAAGGACTTTTTCCCACGCCTTTAGGCGTATAGGGCATATAGGGCTAGACCTAAATTTTAAAGACAAATAGCCACAAGATGGGTAATGTGGTCAGCATCACGTCGGAGCCTTTACTTCCCGGGACTCGATTCTATGACGCAATTGATTTACGAAGCTCATCAATTTCACTGTTTATATTATCATCATCATCATCATCATCATCATCACCATCATCAACAACATCCTTGTAATATTATCATCATTTTTAAAATAAAAAAGTTGATTCTAAGAGCAATAAGTTTCTCTCTTTTTTTTTTTAAACAATAAAACAGCGAGGGTTGCCTGAAGGAATAAAAGTTTTACAGCAGTCAGTATCGATGCCTACAAAAAAAAAAAAAATTACTTTAGTGCCCTATGTATAGCCAATAGTAAAGCATGTAGAAAACACAGGAAAGAAATATAAATTAGATTATATAGTTTGTCAGTCGGCCCGAAGATCTTGATTTCAAACACGTATCTTTAAAAAATGACGAAGCGTGATCAGTTCGCAGATGTAAGCGTTACCAGGTAACCATAAAACTGAAAAGGGTATGACGTAATCATTTCCTCCTTGGCTGTTGCTGTGGAGAGTATTCGTACGCATCCAGTATCTTAGTACTAGTCACTGATAGCTTTCACACGTTATAGTTACCTCATAGGTGGAGTCAGCATGCACGAGCGTTATTTCGCTATGTTAGAGATTTAAACAGAGTGGCACATTTGTAATAAATAGAAAACAGTTAAAAATAAATATTAAAATGGTGCATATCTCTTTGGCAATGTAACATGTAAGAGCGACTACAACCGCTACATGCACGCCTCGCCGCTGACCTAGTTAAAAACAAGTTAGTTGCCTACCCTTTACAGGACGTTGCAGAATCAACCCCAGTATATTTTCGTTAATGTGGTTTTTCAGGGCTAATTTACGTAAAGTAGTTTGCCATTGCTTTTTGGACGGTCGGCTTCTCGATACAACTGTCAAAACCAGCTCAAGGTCCTGCAGTTGGATCGAACCCGGTATTACAAAACTCGTTCGCAACGCCTAAGCCACAGATGTCGCGCTGACCAAGGCAACAAAAAAAAACTTCAGCTGTTTGAAAAAAAAAAAAAAAAAAGAAGAAAAAGGCTTCATCTACCATTTTTACCCTGCCTAAAACGGGCACTGGGAAATTTCCAAGGAAATGAAGGCTGTGTAGGGGAAGTTGCATTCTTATAGATGTTCAGATACCGCCTCTTCCGTGGATAGCATATACTTAGGATGCAATGATGTTTACGTATCACATACTGTATATGTTTACTTTGTGTGAGAGTCACAGCTGTTCTGAGTTGTCATGCTAGAATATATCAAAACAACGTGTATAGTCTTCTTCTTCTTCTTCTTCTGCCTTTCGATCTCCAAATGGAGCATAGGCCCTCAACCAACTTACGCCAAGTCGTTCTCCCCATGTCCTCCCCATCTTTCTAACTTCATTCTCCAGCTCTCATCTCCGTGTGTGTTTTTTTTTCTTTTTTCTTTTGCCTTCCTTTATTCCTATGCCCCTGTGGGTTCTAATGCAATGACATTCTAGTTATGCTGTTCTCTTGTTTTCTCAGCGTGTGTCCTTTCCAACGCCAGCGTCTTTTCCTCACCTCTTGGTCGGCTGGAGCCTGTTTAGTTCTCTCTCAAAGCTCTACATTAGTTATTCTATCATACCATTTAATTCCCTCTATTCTGCGCAGGCACCAGTTAATGAATGTCTGTAATGTATTAGTAATTGTCTTAGTTGTTCTTTATGTTTCCGCCCCATACAATAGTACTGATTTGACATTAGAATTAAAATTTTTTAGTTTAGTATTTCTTTTAATTTCTTTTGACCTCCATAAATTCTCTAGTGCTATG